AAGAAATACTGATTTTTCAAGAAAGTATTTAGTAGGGTGGGAGAAATAGGGAGTTGTTCAATGGGTATAGTTTCGATCATGTAAGATGAGAAGGTTCTAAAATCTGTTGTAAACAATAGCGTAGAGTGAACAATGTTGTAGTGTACACTTAACATTTTATTAGGAGGATATATCTCATGCTATGTATTGTGTTTTTTAACCACACAAGGTACTGGCTAGAAAGCAAGTTTATGCTGCAGTTTATTTATTGTATGTTTACAAGTTTTATTTTTAAAAATGAACTAAGATTTTTAAACTTCAGGGCGAGTTTTAAAATAAGCAGTGTTCTCTGCTAATTCTTCTATTCATTTTGAATTATATTGCACCTTTTAAAAAATTGTTTCTTATGTTAAGTCAGTATTTCAGTGCTAAAAATCTATGGCTGCTACTCCAAGGTGATTAGTCACAAGTCCTTTAGGTTTTTAAAATGAGTTGTTTAAAAAATTAAAATACTATATAAAGTAAACAAACGTTTTCTCCTTGGATTTCCTTTTCACAGCTTCTTCCCTAGACTGTGAGTTCTGTAACACCTGCTTTATCAGTTAATAAAATTGGTGGAGCTGCTTCAACAGAGGCCCAATACTACAGTCTTAGATAAGAGAAGCTAACTTCTCTTCAAACGTAAAGGCCTGAGTTGGCAGGCGATTTGGGAATGAAGAAGGGTGTAGAGCATCTCTGCTCCATGGGGACATCCAGGGACAGAGGCGCCTTCTGTCTTGTCGCTCTACGGTCTTTAGGACACTTCCTTTTCCAAATGGCTGCAGAGAGCGCTGGGAGGCAGAGGGCAAGAAGCTGCCTGTGAAATGTCAAGCTTTTTCTACAAAGGGTCAGACTAAATCTTCTAGGTTCCACATTTGTTCTCCTTTGCATATATATGCATTTTTTTGGAACTCTGTAAAAACTACCCAATTAAATGTGTGAGATAGAGAACTATTCCTATCTCACAAGTCTTACAAGATATAAATAAATAAAGGAAATGAAGAAGGCATGGGCTGTAGGCTTGAGCAGTGGCAGGGGATCGGCGGGTGAGAACTGATGGTGGTTTGGACACTGTAGGTGCGGACTGACAGCGAACACAAGGGGAAGTGGGGCCAGTGACGTGATTAGGTGTGGGGGGGGGTCACAGTGCTCGTAATCCTGATTGAATCCCGAGCACACTGGACAAGCAGTCCTGTCGCCCTGTCACCTAGACAAGAGCATTTTCATTTTACCCTCTCTTCCTTGGCTTTTGGGCTTTGTAATTTAAAGTTTAAGAATGTGACTGGAGTTACTTCACATGGAAAGATATTTGATGCCAGATGATTTTAGAGCCTCGTGGTTGAATCCTCCTCCCAATCTTGGAACTGTGTGTGTCCATTGGCAAAGCCATAAGATTTATTTTAAATACTGGAAAAGGCTTACAAATATGCTGTTTCATGTAATTCAGGTGGAGGATAGATCCATTTCAGATCATTCCTTAGGGCTCAGAGACAAATTTCCCTCCACCCTCCAAAAACAAACAAAGCCAAACAACCCCATTCCCTGATAATTTGTCTGCGGCTGTAAGACAGCCTTATAGCTGTCACAGTACTGAGATACAAACTCATCTGATTTGTGAATCAGTTTTATTTCTTATTCTTCTAAATAAGCTAAAATGTCCCAACAGGTTTAAGCTTTTCCTTTGATTCATTGAAGTAATTCCTGTCCCATTTGTATTAATTATTCCTCATTAGAAAATTCTTCCATTATCACTTCATAAAGAAATACTGATTTTTCAAGAAAGTATTTAGTAGGGTGGGAGAAATAGGGAGTTGTTCAATGGGTATAGTTTCGATCATGTAAGATGAGAAGGTTCTAAAATCTGTTGTAAACAATAGCGTAGAGTGAACAATATTGTAGTGTACACTTAACATTTTATTAGGAGGATATATCTCATGCTATGTATTGTGTTTTTTAACCACACAAGGTACTGGCTAGAAAGCAAGTTTATGCTGCAGTTTATTTATTGTATGTTTACAAGTTTTATTTTTAAAAATGAACTAAGATTTTTAAACTTCAGGGCGAGTTTTAAAATAAGCAGTGTTCTCTGCTAATTCTTCTATTCATTTTGAATTATATTGCACCTTTTAAAAAATTGTTTCTTACGTTAAGTCAGTATTTCAGTGCTAAAAATCTATGGCTGCTACTCCAAGGTGATTAGTCACAAGTCCTTTAGGTTTTTAAAATGAGTTGTTTAAAAAATTAAAATACTATATAAAGTAAACAAACGTTTTCTCCTTGGATTTCCTTTTCACAGCTTCTTCCCTAGACTGTGAGTTCTGTAACACCTGCTTTATCAGTTAATAAAATTGGTGGAGCTGCTTCAACAGAGGCCCAATACTACAGTCTTAGATAAGAGAAGCTAACTTCTCTTCAAACGTAAAGGCCTGAGTTGGCAGGCGATTTGGGAATGAAGAAGGGTGTAGAGCAGCTCTGCTCCATGGGGACATCCAGGGACAGAGGCGCCTTCTGTCTTGTCGCTCTACGGTCTTTAGGACACTTCCTTTTCCAAATGGCTGCAGAGAGCGCTGGGAGGCAGAGGGCAAGCAGCTGCCTGTGAAATGTCAAGCTTTTTCTACAAAGGGTCAGACTAAATCTTCTAGGTTCCACATTTGTTCTCCTTTGCATATATATGCATTTTTTTGGAACTCTGTAAAAACTACCCAATTAAATGTGTGAGATAGAGAACTATTCCTATCTCACAAGTCTTACAAGAAAGCCTGAGGCTAGATTTGTCCCACTAGTTGTTAGTTTGCCAGCCCATGTTTTAAGGGTATGATGTAAAGATTGCATATTTCCTATGTATAAAATGAGGTTAGTAATGGTGTCTATTTAAAAAGGTTGTTATGAGGATTAAAATGAGATAATATATTCAAATAGTGCCTGGCACAAAGTGAGTTAACATTAGAAAATGTTAACTGTTTTTATTATTATAATAATTGATATTTAACTCCATCTGTGAAAGAATTAGCACATTTTTCTTTAACCGCTTGCTTATTAACATGATTTATGACATTTCTATCTGTAATTGCCACAGCTGTTTAGTGTTAATGCTGTATTTAAATTGGTTGTCCAGTCCCTTTATCATGACTTCTCTTTGAATTTTTTATTTTTATTTTTATTTATCTTTGTTGGCTAGATTTCTTTATCTAGTGTTTTTTTTTTTTTAAAAAAAGGATACTGTGTTCCAAGTCTTTGCATGCTTAAAAATGTCAGAACGCTGGTTTTATATGGGAAGGATAACTCGCCATACCCCAGGCCTTTCACTTTTGTGAGATGACATTCAGGGGCCTCTTCTTCCCTCTGCAGTCTAAATGGATATGTGTCCATTCTCAGCTTCCTCTTTATTTTGGTCCAGCTTGCACAGTATTAGAGCAGAGATGCTTTACAGCTTATAGATGGGAGTTATAGCAGTGCCTTGTTTTATGTGCATTAAGAATTTCTACTTTTTATTAGTGGTTGTCTTTGGTGGTGAGTTTTCAGTAAGGACAGTAAAAAGAAACTGCACCAGTAGATTTAAATTTCTTCTCTGTTTTATGTTTTGTTGTGAAAAATTTTACAGTACAGCACCACACCTATAATTGACTGTTTTGTTTTGTCACATTTCTTTCGGGTCTTTTTCTTTTTGTAACAGCAATTAAGTGTGACAACAGGTGCAGCAAAGGTTCCCTTCAGTCCCCACCCCAGGTCCACCCTTCATTCCCACCCTGGAAACCCCAAGGCCATAGCCAGCCTCCACGTCTTTCATATTTCTGTATTTTAAGACACAAATCCAGATATCTATATATAATATATAACGTTTTATTTGTTTAGAATGTTTAACCAGATGGTTTGATTGTTTGTAACTTGTTTTTCTACTTCACTTTATGAAATCTATTTTGACACACACACACACACACACACACCCCACTCACACACACACTTTTTGTTGCTCTCTTCACTGTTGCATATTATTTCACGATAAGAACACATCACATTTCTTTGTTCTCTTGGTAGACATTATTAAGAATAGGCCACTGGACATCCTTGTATAGCTCCTTTAGGCTTATGTGCGTGAGTTTTTCAATAAGTAGAAGTTCAAGGTTGTAAGATATATGCCTTTTCATTATTACTAGGTACTGACTATTCAGCACGGCCACTACTAATTGTGCTCAGAGTGATGGTGCTAGTTTACCCTCACCAGCAGTGAGTGACAGTCACTGTGGACCAGTATTTATATGGATACTTTTTCTAATATTTGCTATTTTTATAATGATGATAACCATTTGATAGATTAGATTGTTGGAATTGGTTATTTCTACGTGAATTTAGGAGTAAAGAGTGATCAATCAGCTAAGAGGGGGGTCCTACCAAATGCAGTTCACCCTACATCTGAAATGAGATTACATTCTACTTGTTTTCTTTGCCATTTTTTCAGAGTATCATTAGAGCCAAAAACAAATTTTAAAGGTGCTAGGGTCTTTTCCAAGGTGGAGGTGGGGGATGGGGAAGATACAATAAAGTGTATTATTATTTTTGATAAGAGTGTTAGCATCTTTCGTACCTGTGTGCCATTTGTACCTGTATGCCATTATTTCTGGAACTCTTTTCCCAGCTGTTTACCTGAAAATCATTAAATGTGTTGTAAGTGAACTATGAAATGATTAGATGCTAATGTGACAAAAAATGTGTGAATTCTGTCTCAGCTCAGGAACAGGTACCTTTGGTTTAATGCAGCACGTCGTCAATGCATGACTCAGCTTTTGAATTGTATGGTTCAAAAGTACTTTTCACCCATAGGTATGTTTCCATTGAGGAGTTGAATCCATTTGGTCAACAAATCAGTATTCAAGGTCCGAGCTGTCTGTTGGCCTCTTTCTCTCTTTGTTGTGATATGTGTTTTTTGTTTCTTTTTCCCTTGAGAGAAGGCACAGTTCCTCATATATGCAATTTTCACATTTCAGAAAAGCAAGAGGAAAGGGCACGAATATACAAACATTAAGTATTCCCTAACGGACCAGACGAGTGGAGATCAGAGTCCCCTCCCGCCTTGTACCCCAACACCGTCCTGTGCAGAGTAAGTAGTACTGAAGGACATTCATTTTACCTGAACGCGATCCAGCAGTAAAGCTTCAACAACAGTAAGGCTTTGCAGCGCTCTCCTTTCATTGGTGTGCATTATTGTTGCCCAGCCCGGCAGGGAGGATATCGGTGTCTATTGGAGCTAAATTTTAGTTCGCCTAAACAAAAGTCTTGTTGCTGCACTAGCTATAAGATTGTTTGGGTTATTAAGTATACCAAGTGGTGCTTCTCTAAGAAGAATCTAATTTTTCTTTTGATGGGTGAGGATTGTTACAGAGGTAGTAACAACCTTTTTCATGTGTTAAGACTCTTGGCTAAGTAAAACTAAACCAGCTGACCAGTCCTGACCTGTTGCTTTTCCACAGTCGACAGAAATCTACTCTGGGCATTTAAATCAGGAGTTAGCAAACTACTGCTCTGAGGCCAAATCCTGGCCATAGCCTGTTTTTGTACAGCTCATCAATAGTTTTTAAAGGGTTATTAAAATACACACACACACACAAAGAATGATATATGACAGAGACTGTGTATGGCCCACAGAGACTAAATTATTACCCTCTGGTCCTTTACAGGGAAACTTTGCCCACTCCTTGTATAAACTAAAACTTGATAGGAAAACATTTGTTAAATCGATTATGTGATTAGCAACTGTAAGTTATTATTTTTCTGTATATTCTATTAGCAAACTACTGCTCTGAGGCCAAATCCTGGCCATAGCCTGTTTTTGTACAGCTCATCAATAGTTTTTAAAGGGTTATTAAAATACACACACACACACAAAGAATGATATATGACAGAGACTGTGTATGGCCCACAGAGACTTAATTATTACCCTCTGGTCCTTTACAGGGAAACTTTGCCCACTCCTTGTATAAACTAAAACTTGATAGGAAAACATTTGTTAAATCGATTATGTGATTAGCAACTGTAAGTTATTATTTTTCTGTATATTCTAAAGTCAGCTTCTGGTGTAACATTTACTTTTTATTTTCCCGTAAGAGTCTCATCTCTATCTGCTTCTGATGTGGGGTTTATAAACCCCTGCTGGCTTCAGTACTCTGTATAAACATAGATACTATATACGAGCCTCATGTTTACATTTGCTTTCTATTTAACATTGAAATGAAATGATGGAGCAAAAGTATTCTCTTCACCAAGTTGCCTCTTCCCTCTGCGTTTTTTCTTTCCCAGAGGACTGACGGGGAACGTTGATGTTTTAAATTGCTATCTGCAGTAGTTTGCAGTGCAGCCAGCATGGCAGGTCTCTGAGTCCTTGCCAGAAAGCTTTCCCTGCATGCTGGCACAACAGAATCAGCTCTCACACCTCCCATATTACAAGTGGCCTGCCAGTGACTGACAGGTTCTGTGCCTCTCCATTCCCACTGTCCCCTTACAGCGTGCAGACCCCAAGATACCCTGGGCTCCAAGCCCTTTCTCCTTGTTGCCTCTCATAGGCTGGTTCCCACAGCTGCTGTGTTTCTCATCCCCCCATTCTGCGTTGATCTCCGCTCTCGGCTCCCTGCTCAGCAAAACAGTCTGAGCTCTGAAGCATTTAGAGCCCACCATCCGTCGAGTTTCATGTTCACTGTTCCCGTTCATGTAGTTGGACTTGGTGCCGGCTGAATCGGCAGTCCCTGCCCTACTGCTCCGTTTCCCCCACTCTTGGAGCTCCTGCCATTCAGATCTCTGTGCTTGAAACTAATACTTGTCCTTCTGTATGTGTGTGTCCCACCCTCCTTCAAGGTCTAACTCAAAAGCCTCATTGTATAGACCAAATTTGCTCTGCCCACCTGGAAAACAACTCACTCTCCTCCGGTCCCCAGAGGACACAGTGGCTGAGGCTCCTATTTCACTTTGAACTTTATATTGCTGTATGTTGATGTCTTATAGCCAACCCTGGAATGCTAGCTCCTTGGGGCAGGATGTGTGTCTGCACCGTATCTGGTCCCCAAAGAATGTAGTATATGCTTTATAAGTATCGTGTGAGTTTGAACAACATGTTCTGCATCTTTGTTAATGCCTTCTTTTTTTTTTTTCAGAATGAGAGAAGATAATGCCAGAGTGTATGAAAACGTGGGTCTGATGCAACAGCAGAAAAGTTTCAGATGAGAGGTCCTACCAAGACTTCAGCACAGAAATCGGTATTTAAATGGAAGTGCTCTGTCAGTTGTTTATATCACTTGTGGCATTTTTAAGCAGACATAATTTGTGAGTTGTTTTAGCAAAGTGTACCGTAAGTGAATTTCACCAACTAGCCTCCCTTTTCCCTCTCCCTGAACTTCTTTTTTCCAAGCTGGACTGATTTTAGAGTTCATTCAGCTTCGAAACCAAGTACAGAGTTAATTCTGTGAGGGGCGAGGCCAGCAGTTATTAGAGAGAAATGGTTGACGTTGGAGATGAAGAGCAGGTTCAGGTTCACTGTCCCTGCAGTGTGCGTTGGAGTCAGTTAACTGGGCTCCGCTGGGAGCTGACCTGTAAGGATCTGGGGAGCGTGGGGACAGAACACTGGATGGTTGGAGTCCAGGGGCCTGAGTTCTCTTTCCACTTGGCCCCTGACTGGCTCGGCTCCATATCCTGTCCCTCTCTCTCACCGGGAATTCATCTCCCTTGTATGTCTCCTCCCTGTCAATCACCTTTTTAGGCAGTCTCCCAAGTAGGTGATGTATATTTAAGAGACAAATTAGAAAACTCACAGTTTCATTATTTCTTGTTGAGATTCCCATTTTGATGGGTAGTATATTTAAAAGCTTTAAATCTGATTTAAGTTAGTTTAATGCCTTGACAAGCTTTTAGATGTGTGCTCTTTAAAAGTTCTAACTTCTTTCTTTCCCAGATGTGGACTTTCACCATCCCCCTAAAAGGATCAAGAACAGCTGCAAGTCTGTGAGGAACCAGTTTGGATTTGGGAGGCTTGTGGTGCGGTCCACCACCTTTTGATAAGCAAAATTTGAGACCGTTTAAAGACCATTGTATTCTAACTCAACAACACCTGATGACCAATTACTCATTTCCTCAGATATGAATAGATCATCTCTACAATGTAGACAATGTTCTATTTTATAGAATTTTATTTAAAATTGAAACAGTTAAATTGTGCTCTATATCTTACAGGTGATGGTGATTGAAATTCTACTTGGCATTTTTTATTTCTTTTTATAACCTTAAAAATTCAATTACTTTTGTCTTTATGGGGGATGATAGGGTACTTGTAAGAGAAAAAATGATCTGGGAAATTGAAGCGACAACATCCTATAGAAGTGAGAACAATTCCGTTTATCATTACTTCTCCAGAGGTGGATGATTCATTTTGATGGCCTCTTTTTTATTTTGCTAAATGATCATTAAGCCAGTGCCCCAGACCATCAGGAGTTGACTGTCTACCTTTGCACTGCCATTAAAAAATCATGGGAAAAGATATGAAACTTAGGATAAAAGATGTGTTTTCTTCTTAGCAGATGACCAATTACCATTCAGCCTGTTGATTGCGAAGGTTGTAGTGGGAAAATGTTTGCCATATTTATTTTTCATTTGAGTAATTGTTTTGTGTTTAGGGGGAGAAAATGCATCTGTGGATAACCAGTGTTTTGTTATCAGTTGTTGCTGACAAACACCCCAAAACTTAGTGGCTTAAAACAGTAATTCTTTTGTTTTTCTTCTCACTGTTCTTCAGTCTGGGCTGGACTCTGAGGAGCTGTTGCCCTCCTTGTCGTGCTGGTGCCCCTCAGGTGGTCAGCAGGCTGGCCGAGACTTGGGGATGGCCGGGCCTGTCTCTCTGCATGTGGCCCTCAGGTCTCCCCTTCTCCATATGGCCTCACCAGCAGGGTAGCTGGACCGCCTGCAAGGCAGCTCCCAAGGGTTCAAAGCTGTAGTGGCCAGGCCTTCATAAGACTTAACCCCAGAACTGTCAACATCACTTCTGCCCTCTATTGACTGAAGTCATGGCCCAGCCCAGATTCAGGAAGGGCGGATGCTTGAGGGCATGAAGTGGAGGTGTGGTTCACTGGGGACCCCATGTAACAGACTGTCAGAACCAGCACCATGGGAAAACAGCTAGAGTTAGCAAAAGTGGAAGCTGCTAGTGACCTTGGGAAGCTGAAGCTGCTTATGGTAGCTGGTGGCAGTGGGAAGTCAGACAGAGAAATAGGGGCCCCTCAGAAAACTTCCTGTTTGCTGCCTTTGAGCATGTTTTCTGAACCATCACTTGGGGAAACTGGTCTTGTAAGGGAGGGTGTGTTTAGGAGAGCAGGGCATTTGAAAGCAGTAGCGCCCAGTCTCCAGGGCACCTACAGGTGGTGGTGCATGCCATGCTCACCTGCCCCTGGTCCAGGCCAGCTCTGCACATGGATATGACCAGACTGTGGGTAGAAGGAGGTGTGAACTAGGCTGCTAGTCACAGTGAATTTCCAGTAGCTCAGTTTTGTTTTAACCAAGCAGTAAGATTTGCTAATGTTCTACCTGAAGTGCCTTCTCCAAAGACATCCTCTTTGCCCTGTGTATTGAATTATCATTCAGTGAGTGTATTTCAATTAAAGTATCATTGGTTGACTTTGTAAAGATAAGAAAATGCTACAGCAGTTTTTCTGTTCAGGATTCTTCCGAAAGGAAGGACTCTATCCACTCATGGAAGCAGTTCCTTTCTGAGGTCTTTCCCTCCCTTGAAACCCTGAGGGAGTTGGGGAGAGCAGTGGCTGCCATTTTCACAGACAAAATGTACCTTGACAACCCCTCCTTTTCCACTGAACTTAGAAATTGCTTTAGAACACAGGTGTGGCCTGAAGGTAATTACCTTCTAAGAGGAATGTAAATGACTACTGTCTTCTTGTCAAGCCTGTAAAGAGATTACAGTTCAGTATTTTACAAGGATCTTGGATCCTGTTCTTTTTATTGCATTGCCACATTGAATGATTTTCTATTTTGCCTTGATTTTGTGGTAATGTTTTGACTGTGGACTTTGGGGGCAAAGTTTCACCAGCATATAAGGGTTTGATTGTACAGATAAATCTGCTGCGTTAACATCTCTGCCTATAGCTTAGGATCAGTGATTTTTGCACTTGGAACAGAAACACCTGATCTTGGCCAGCTTTGTTTGTTGCAGGACATTGATTTCATTTACATTTCCCTCCACGAAGTCAGCAAACCACCATATTATATTAATTTAGGCCAAGACAAGATTATGATAGTCTCTAGGTTGCTAAGGTTTGTCGTGTTCGGTAAAAAGGTGATGGCAGGTTCTCAGAGGAGATACTCTATGCAGGATGGAATCAGGCAGAGAGGCAGGCTGTGGAGATGGGGGAGCTCTAGGTGTGGGATTTTTAAAAATAGTGGAAATGAAAGTTCCAAAGAGGTGGTTTTTGAGGAAGTCAGAGGGCCCAGGGCCAGAACAGTCAATAGTAGCAGAATTGGGTTACCGGAAGAGGAGTGATAGCTACATGCATGCAGTCTTTGTCTGGGTTGCTGGTAGACGTTAAATTTGCACAATATCCCGTAGCTGGCTGAGTATTTTAAAATTTTAAGCATAGGATTTTATATTTGGGATGACAAAATTATCGGGCATGTGGTACTTTTTTTTAAGCCAAATTTCAGAGTCTAAACAGACTTTTAAAAAATATATAAAGACACCTCATATCCAGTATGTGGGCCTCCTGAAAACTATGGTCATCTCTCCTGTGAAGTCAATGAATTTCCAAATGTGGCTAACGGGGATGAGGAACCAGATGCCTGACTTTCTTGGTGTGTGCATTCCCTGTGGAGCCTAGTTGCTTTGGAACAGCCAAGAAAATCATCGAAGTTATTTCTAGGGGTTATTTTACTGGAGATTTTAAGAACTAATATAATGTTCTGGGTTATTTCTAGTTCAGGAGAGTGTGGAAAGGTCTGCAATTGTGAAGTGTTTTGTTGTAGCTTATTAATCCAAAAGGGAAATTTAGCCTATAGCTGTGAGTACAAACCCAGTGCAGTTTTTGTTTAATGTATATTGTTTGGGGAATAAAGTTTTATATAGCAAGCACACAGCCCCCCTGATTTCCAGATACCTTTATTAGGATCTGTATTAGCCCTTCCTTTAGTTGAAATCTTTTTCCCTCTTCCTCTTGAAAAACAAGATCCAAAATGTAGTTTATTGTATCTTCCATCATTAAAAGGTTTGTTCCTTTTTCCCTATTGGCAGTTCACCCAAGGTAAAAATATTAAACAGTTGGCTTTAGTGTGTTGTATAACTTTGCTGTATATCAAATTAATTTTTACAAGTTTTCATCCTAAACCTCAAATCATGTAATTAATAATTTGCCTGTTTATTTATGACTTAATTGTGATTCTTTTATTAATAAAAGCTAATGGGAAAGGATCCTTTATTAAGCTGATGACTAGACCTACATTTAATTTTACTGCAGTATATGAAGTATTGTACCAGAGTATTAAAAGATATGTAATATTTTATTGATAAATCTATCCTTTAAAAGGAATACGTTTTAGGATGTCATCATTTTGATGTGAATCATGTAAATGTTGATAATATGCACTGTTTATTATACTTTTAGTGTTTCAAGAGATTCACTTAATTGCCTTTTGCCCACGTATATTATGTAGTCTATTTGCAATTGTTGTTTTAAAAAATGACATTAAAAGAATAGTTTATGTAGAGAAACATTAGCGGATGTTAATTGTCTCCCCACCTGTATTTATGGGTGTTAGTTCAACTGCGTTGCTAGTTGCAAAGCTGTATTACCAGAGTAAAAGTGTATTTGTAAACTGTATGGGAACTAAAAATTAGGAATAAAACCATTTTCTTATATTATGGTATTTGTCATTTACTTCATCAGAAATGTCTAGGAGAAATTGGGATTATAGGTCACTCAACCTCTTACACTGGCAAAATGCTGACATTTAGCAGTTCTGCAGGAGGTAACAGAATAAGGAATGAATGAATCAGTTCCTGAAGCATTTGAGTGCCTACTCTGTGAATAGCTTTGGGAGACAGAAAGGGATTATTGTTTGGAAGAACTTACGAGTAAGTAACACATAAGAAGTATGGTAAAATATACAGGAAATGGTTAGAATACATACAGCACTGAATGTAAATAGTATCGGGTGGGGATATGAGGACATGGTAAAGGAATCTTGTGGAAAGAGTAAGTCATATGCTATAGGACCTCAGCTCTTCTCCTTGGAGTAGATTTAGGCTACATACAAACGAGGCCATTTGCTGCTTCTGACAGCACTGCAAAGCATTGGCAGCAAGAAATCATCTTATAAATAACAAAACAGGTAGCTATTCTCTGTTGAAAGGAGTGATTTGTGTTACTTATTTATACTGTAAAAAAAAAATACTATTGCCCCCCTTTCAGTGTCAGCTGAGTTAATGCATATAATCAGATTCATCTGGTTTCATTGGTTAGACCAGTCATCTACCCATTCAACAAACAGCGAACACCTTCAAAATGCCAGGCACTGGCATCTGTACTAGACGCTGGAGCTAAACAGTGACCAAAGCAGATTGCTAGTGATTGCAGCAGGGAAGCT